GCAGCCGATCAATGACTCTCTCTTATCATCGATGTTTCTCTCTCTCACTCCACCTCCCTTCCTCTCTCTCTAAAATCAACAAAAACATTTAAAAAAAAAGTAGCTTTTCCCTCATCAGTCATCTGGTGACCTAGAAATACTGTCTTTGATGAGATACATGGTTCATTCTTTCACTATATTAAAAGATTTTCAAAACCATGGCCTGGGGTGACCTCAAGTGGTGCCAATGCATTTTTTAAAATTTATTTCTTTGTTTTCAATTACAGTTGATTTTCATAATCAGTTTCAGGTGTACAGCATAGTAAATAGACAGTCATATACTTTGCAAAGTGGTCCCCCTGATATTTCCAGAACTAACTGCCAAAGGATATATTTAAAAAATATATCACTTTACACTCAGAAAACACAGGATCTTGCCACATTCCCACAAGTGCCAAGTGCTAATACCTTCCAACATCTAGGCCAAACTTCTTTCCATTACCGTGAATCTCCATTAATGGGAGCACCGCAAAGCAGCGGGTAGGAATGAAAGGTGCCCATAGGGTTACTTGTTTCTACTGGATCCGTGGTCCTGCTAAGCTGGTGAGCTTGGGTTGTTATTGCCTTTGTAGGCGTTGCTTTGCTCACCTGTGAAATGGGAAAAATTGTTTCTATCCCATAGACTTGTTGGTAAGACTGGATGGATCTGCTCATTGGAAAGTGTTTCCTTAGAACAGATTCTGGCTCATCGTTACCACTGAGTAGACATTACGTGCTTCTGACTTTATCACCATCATTTTCATTGTCATTATCACTGTTGTTATTATCATTATCAATATCATCACCTCACTATCACAATCACCATCACCACCATCACCACCATCATCATCATCACCACCATCATCACCATCATCATCACTGTCATCATCACTGTCATCACCATCATCACCATCACCATCATCATCATCACCACCACCATCATCATCATCACCACCATCACCATCATCACCACCATCACCATCATCATCACCATCACCATCATCATCACCATCACCATCATCACCATCATGACTGTCACCATTATTACCACTGTTTTGGACTGAATGTGTCCTGTCCAAAATTTATGTGTCAAATGTTTAACCCCCAGTGTGAGTGTATTTGGAGATAATTCTTTTAGGAGGTAATAAAGGTTAAAGGAGGTCATGAGGGTGGGATCTTAATCCCATAGGATTGATAACCTTATAAAACATTTGTTTCTCAGAGTTCTGGAGGCTTGAACTCCAAGATCAGGGTGTTGTCCAATTCTAGGTAGTGTTCTCTTCTTGAATTTTAGGTGACTTCCTCTTCAGAGTGTCCTCAAATGACCGAGCCCCCCCCCCAATTCTTTTTTTTATAAGGACACCAGTCATTNCGAGCCCCCCCCAATTCTTTTTTTTATAAGGACACCGGTCATTGAATTAGCCCCATCTTAATCCGGTATGACCTCATCTTAACTTGATGACATCTGGAAGACCCTATTGCCAAATAAGATCCCATTCACAAGAATGGGGTTGAGGACTTTTGGGGGAATACGATTCACCCCCATACAAATGGCAAGGAGAGCAACTGGGGGATTAAGAACACATGAGCGTTTGCCATCTCTGCTTTACGGAGAATCCCCTCTTTCCTTGGCTAACACGGTCTCCTCCCTCCGCCCTAGTGTGGAATTGGTAACACTGAGCAAGCTGAGAACGATGATGGTGATGATGGTGTCACCTTGCTTTCTCTCCAAGAGCCAAATGACCAAAATGAGATAAGGCCAGGGTCATGGATAATTCACAGTGTCCACCAACCAGCGGTCTCCCAGTTTCACCCAGAGCTCTTCGTCTTCACATACTTACTGCAGGCTGATGCTCTTTACAGCAATTTATGCCTCTCCACACATCCCGGATGATTTGAGGGGTTTTGCACGAATCTCCTACTCTAACCAGGTGTCAGGCTACCTGAGGCAACTTAGAGACTGGAAATGTATACAGCCCCTGCCCCTTACACTAGGATGGAGCCAAAAAAAGAGACTCACCTTTCCAAATGTAAGTGGAGACCCTGTATCTAGGGCAGGTACAGTTACCTGCGGCCACCTCCATCTGGTCTTCATTTCAGCGAGGAGTTAGGCTTCCAGGTAGATGCAGGTGAGCTTGGATGAGCTACCAGGTGTGTAATCTGATGATTTAATAAACATTGTGAAATGATTGCCACAGTCAAGTTCATGAAAACAAACATCACCTCACACAGGTACCATCTTTTCTGTGATTGTGATAACTTAGCCAATTTTAAGTGCATTATTACAATATTTTAAGCTATATTTCCTTGCTGTATGTTAGATGCCCATTGGTAACTCCATGGATAGTCTGACCTTATAATCAGTATGCTAATAAGTGAAATAAGCTAGACTCCGAAAGACAAATACTGTAAGGTCCCATTAGGTGTAGAATCTAAAATAGTAACACCCACCCAGCTGGTGTTGCTCAGTGGTTGAGCATTGACTCATGAACCAAGAAATCTCCGATTCAATTCCTGGTCGGGGCACATGCTGGGGGTTGCAGGCTCCATCCCCAGTAGGGGGCGTGCAGGAGGCAGCCGATCAATGACTCTCTCGTTATTGATGTTTCTATCTCTCCATCTCCCTTCCTCTCTCTCTCTCTAAAAAAAAAAAAATCAATAAAAACATTGAGAGCTTAACATTTAGAGATGTGAGCAGAAATGACTCAAACCTATAGATGTTAATTCAACGCCGTAGCTCTTTTTAAGTCCAAAGAAAAAAGAGACATCGGAGGCAGCACTGGGAAGGGGGTGACCCCAGTGGGAAAAAAAAAATAGCCAACGAAATACATAACCAGAAATCTCCACCATCCATGTGGGGCGCACTTGGCTATTCACCCAGATACCCTCTAGGTGGAGCTGGAAGCTAAATATTTTGCAAATGATGCCTCTGCAGAGAAAATCCTTTCGGAAGCTCTCTGTCCCACTTAAACCCCAAATACCCTGGTTTCCCTTAAATGTGAGTAGCCTCCGACGCACTTAAAATGTTAGCGAACCCACAGAAGCGCTGCAAACCCTCCAAACCTTTGCAAAAGCAGGTGGAGAAGACAGTTCACAGGACCTTTCCCCTCCGAGGAGAGAATTAGCTTATTTACCCACATAGACCTGACGTGGGCACGCGGAGACCGAGTTATCGAGAGCACGCTTCAGTCACTCTTTTTAATGTTATTTTCCAGGAAAACGAGGACTGTGGGCTCTCAGCTACTGGGTAACCCTGGTAAGCAGCAGTGACAATGGGTAGCAATGCCTACGAGACCACACGTTACATTCTGTTGGCCTTAACGGTGTTTGCAAGAGAGCAAACCAGCTGAGACCATACTACCGGCTTTGTCCAAGGGGGGGCGATAGTGAATCAGTTGTGATCAGCTAGGTTATTGTAACACCCAACGCTCATGTTTCTGTTTTGTTTCTCCCCCTAAGGAATTTGACTTTATTTTAGTTGGTGGGTTTTTTTTGTTTGTTTGTTTGGCAATTTTCACATCCGTCATTTATTATTTTTAAAAAATTTTTTACGTGTTTTTATTGATTTTAGAGAGAGAGGAAGGGAGAGGGAGAGAGAGAGAAACATAGATCGGCTGCCTCCTGCACGCCCCCTACTGGCCAGGGCAACACAGTCATTTATTAATTTTCTTTTTTAACAACAAAAGTCACCCTTGGCAGTCATTTTACCCAATTAATACAAATAGCCAAATATATTTCTATTTTGTTTCTTTCGGAGCTGGGTGTCCTGTAGAGACACCACAGAGAGTCGAACTTCAGTTCTCAAACGTCTCCAATGCTCAGACAATTCGGATCTCGACCAAGCTGTTCACAGAAAAATTGTCTCGGTTCTCGACCCGACAACACTTTCTGATCGCTGTGTGATCAGTTTACGTGGGAAAGCAAAAAATAATAATTTCTCGGCCCGACAACACTTTCTGACAGCTGTACAATCTCTCAGGAGACAAACAGAGGAGAGAATGGACGAATCTGACTCAGTTTACCGTTTAACCTCACGTTGTTAACGTCTCAGGAAATTGTGCTGTAACTATGTCTTTTTTGCATCTGGGGCTCCGGAATGTATTAATTCAATTTAAATTATTTCCAACGGGAGAAAATGATTCAGTTTTCCAACAAATCTCTTTTCGATCTGCCTTCTGGATCGAATTAAATTGTTGAAGAGCCCAGGTTCGACTGTCTATGGGTCTCATTTTCTTATCTGTTATGTTAACCTATGTCTTTTGATTGAGGCATTTAATGCATTTACATTTAAAGGGATTATTGAGCCCTGGCCAGTGTTGCTGAGTGGTTACAGCATCGGCTCATGTACCGAAGGGTCTCGGGTTCAATTCCTGTCAAGGGCACAGACCTGGGTTGAGGGTTTGCTGCCCACCCCTAATTGTGGTGCCCGCGGGAGGCAACCAGTCGATGTGACTCCCTCACATCCATGTTTATCTCTCTCTACCTTTCCCTCCCTCTCTTCCACTCTCTTAAAAAAAGAAAATAAATGGAAGAAATATCCTCAGGTGAGAATTAACAAAAAAATAAAAAGTAATAATAAAATAAAGTGATTATTGATAGGCATGTAACTTAAAATATCGGGGGACCTGTGTAAAGTACATGGTTTTCTTACTACTTCGCTGTGCATCTGAAACTAATACAGAAAAATGTTGAATGGAAGCTGTAATTAAAAATAAAAATATATGTAATATTCAAATATGTATATAAGTCGAGGGAATTATTATTTTTTACTTTCCAGGGACGGTGGACATTTGCTATTATTTTATATTGGTTTCGGGTGTGGTCAGACAATGATACCATGAACCCTTCTAATAGGGACCCATCCGTTGCCAATCACCACTGAGTTCTGTGGGTTGTGTTCTCTCCCCCCAGGACGTGGACACTCTGTGGAACCCCTGAGTACCTGGCCCCTGAAGTCATCCAAAGCAAAGGCCACGGGAGAGCCGTGGACTGGTGGGCGTTGGGCATCCTCATATTTGAGATGCTTTCGGGGTGAGTAACGGCTTCTGGGGAAAGTCAGGGCATCCCCCGACTTTCGTCCCCTGCTCTCTTGCCCTGATCCATTAGCCCCTAAGATGGTGCATTCGTCCGGCCTCCAAATTCTTGGGGTGTGGTTCCCACCGAGATTTCCCACTGCGGACGGTCATGAGTACTCAGTAATTTTTCCACCCCATGTGTCATTACGAAAACCAAGTTCACAAATGACGGCAAGAAAAGTCTTCAGTGGGAGGATGTGTGTTCTATTGACGGGCGATACAAACAGTTACTGTCCTGTTTCTACCAGCGCCCCGCCTTCCTCAAAGAAATTTAAAGGTAACGCTGACATTCGAGATTTAAACCAAATCAACACTAGTATTTTCTTTCATTTTTTATTAATTTTTTTATAGATTTCGGTGAGAGGGGGGAAAGAGAGACATTGATGATGAGAGTCATTGACCGGCTGCCTCCTGCACGCCCCCTACTGGGGATTGAGGAGCCTACAACCCAGGATGTGCCCTGACCGGGATTCGAACCTGTGACCTCCTGACTCATAGGTTGACTCTCAACCACTGAGCCACGCCAGCTGGGCTGCATGACTTCTTTTTAAAGCTCGGCAATGCAGCTGTCGGATAAACATAAGTCAATGAAATGCGGTTTGGGACTTTATGGGAGCGAACAGCATTGCCAGGGAGGAGAGACGGGGTGCTATCCCGAAACCCCGGACTTGGGTGGGAGGAGATTTGGAAGGTCACGTCTCCTCCTGGTCCAGATACCCAAGGGGTCGAGCATTCGTCAAGGTGTCATCAGGATTAAATGAATCAAGCCTGGGGGTGACGCCTAAAGACAGGTCTGATGTTTCTCTGACCAGAAACCTAAAGCGAGCGGCCCACGCTTAGGAATCTTGGGCGTGGGGGCCTATCCTCCTGCTGTGAGCTAAAGGCTCTTTCTTGTCTCCGATGGTGCTGGGGACAGACAGATAGACAGACAGCCGGCCCGGGAGGTGCCCAGGACACTTTCTGGAGGCTGTCAGATGAGCTGTTTCTCTACTGCCCCCCCCCAGGCCCCCCTTTCCCTTGTTTTTTTTTCCTTCAGCATTCATCCGTGAGCCCCAGACATGCTGAGTTTACTCCCTGTCGTAGCAAACGACGGACCCTCTTCCCCACCTGCCTGATGCAGGCAAAGCCCACAGAGTTGTACCCGGAAACCTTCCCTTGCGGTTGGAAAGAAACGTGGAAAAGAGGCCTTTTTCTGCGTGGACGCTGTGGCCAGAGTGTGGTCTCTGATCACCGGTGTTTATCCTTCTGTGTGTACATCAACCGCGCATCTAGTTAGGACGTATCTGTCTGTCCATCTGTCACCTGTGTGTGTAGCGTCCGAAATACATCAGGCCCGGGGTCGCCCCGTGAAGAACGCACAGTGGCTGGAAATGTGCACCCCGTGGGCCGGCCTCCTCGGAGGCCAGCAGCAGCTTCCACCCGGACCGTCAGTGGCCACTAGGGAGCAGCATTGCCCCAGGATCCGCGAGTCCTGGGCTCCCATGATATTTAAATGCAGGGTGTGTCCCCCCCAAAAATGTAGACACAGGCTTTTGAATCATTAATAAAAGGCAGCGTTTATTAAGACGCGTTTCATTTTCAACATGGAGCTATGAGCTGTTAAAGTATGTCTACCTTTTGGGGGGGGCACCCTATAGAATGAGGTCCGTGGGTTTTTGTCTTTATTACTTTATTCTTAGGGTCGAATATAATATTATAAAACATAATAATATGCCATATTATTAGTAAATATGATATTAGGACACAGTATATTGTCGAACATAATATGGATAGACTATAGTAGAAAATTGTTAAAATAGAATTAAAATATATTAGGATACATTAAAATTACTATATTGGGATTATTATATAAATAATTATTAGAATATTATTAAGATATAATATATTGTGATATTAGAATATGTTAAATATTAGAAAATAAAATATTTCTAATCTAATAGAAGAAGAGGTATATATATAATAATAAATATTATAATATTATAATAATAAATATTAAAATAATAATAAAATAATAATATCACGAATTNGAATATAAGAATAGAAGAGATATATATAATAATAAATATTATAATATTATAATAATAAATATTAAAATAAAAATAAAATAATAATATCACGAATTATGAGCACAAATAAAATTTTAATAGAGCCTGCCCGGTGTGGCTCAGTGGTTGAGCGTCGACCTATGACCCAGGAGGTCAGGGTTCNTAAAATAATAATATCACGAATTATGAGCACAAATAAAATTTTAATAGAGCCTGCCCGGTGTGGCTCAGTGGTTGAGCATCGACCTAAGACCCAGGAGGTCAGGGTTCGATTCCCGGTCAGGACACAGGCCCAGGTTGTGGGCTCCCTCCCCAGTCGGGGGCGTGCAGGAGGCGGCCGATCCATGACTCTCTCTCTCCCTCTCCCTTCCTCTCTCCCTAAAATCAATAAAAAATTTAAAAAATATATTTAAAAAAAAAAAAGTCGCCCCCACCGGACCACAAATGGACGTCTTTGTATATTTTGCACACAAGGCGGGATGTGGCACATAGTAGGAGCTCAGTAAAGATGCACAGGACAAATGCAAGCAAGGGACCGGGTTACCCCGCACCCTACAGTCTGGCTGCCACGCTCGGTAACTTGATAGAAGCCGATGTGATGAATTCACTCAACCACTGAGCCACCCCGGCCAGGGCATGGGAGTAACATTTTTTTTCTTCTTTAATATCTTCTTTTTATTTCAGAGAGAGGAAGGGAGAGGGAGAGAGAGACATGGATCGGCTGCTCCATCCTGCAGGCCCCCCACTGGGGATCGAGCCCACAACCCGGGCGTGGGCCCTGACCAGGAATCGAACCCTGACCTCCTGGACCCTAGGTCGCCGCTCAACCCCTGAGCCAGGGCATGCAAATGACATTTTTTTAAGCTGTGTGCGAGAGAAGTCTGCATGAGAGAAAACTCAGGCCCGCCTTGGAGAAGTGGCCACCGCCATGGTCACCCCGCGGGTTTCTTTTCTCCAGGCCGGATGCCCGCTAAGAATGAACGTTTCTGTTTCCGACAGGTTCCCTCCGTTTTTTGACGACAACCCATTTGGCATTTATCAGAAAATTCTTGCCGGCAAAATAGATTTCCCCAGGCACTTGGATTTCAATGTAAAGTAAGTCGAACGGTTTCCCTGGCCTTTGGGAATTCGGGGGTAGGGGGGTATTTATTTTTAAAACATCAAAAGAAAAAAAAAAAAGCCCTGTCCAGACATCTGCCCAGCAGGAGAGCACAGTGTGTTATTCAGGATGACGCGTTGGAACTATTTGGACCCTCACCTTTTCCACGGGCACAGAAAAAGCTTTCATTGATCTGCTTTCAGACTATTTAACCTGTTAAGGAGCGTTGGCTGTCGTCGATGCCTTTTGGGATTCACGACACTGACAATTAGCCCGTAAATACGTTTGTTATATTGGACGGGAGAGACGTTCGGGTACCTAGCACGTAGACGGTCCCCCTTTCCCGGCTCATTTTGGGGTTGGCATCCGCGTGAATGAGTTTAGCAGAGTCCGGCTTTCCTCTCCTGCTCGAATGATTCTCATACTTGACATTTTTTTATTGTTAATCGTCACCCGGGGATATTTTTTTCCATTGATTTTTAGAGAGCGGGGAAGGGGAGAGAGACAGAGAGAAATAAGGATGAGAGAGAGAAACACATCGATGGGTCGCCTCCTGCACCAGCCCGGACGAGGGCTGGAGATCGAACCTGCAACCCAGGTCCACGCCCTTCCCGGGGAATCGAACCCGAGACCCTCGCGCGGGCCGACGCTCTGAGCGCTGATCCACACTGGCCAGGGCTATTCTCAAAGTCCTTTCTCACGCTCAGATTTTTACTGATGGACATTTCGCTTCAAGAACTTTTTTGTTGACTCAAAACGAAATGCATCTTTGGGTCTGAAACTCGTTAATTTTATGCCGATGAGCAGGGGGGCGGGGACTACGTTTTTAAAATATATATATAAGAATGCTTTTGGTTTTTCTAGATACCTTCATCAATCTGATCCCCTTTTCGCTATTTTGCACCGTCATTGTTGCCCAAGCATTGGGGGCGGGTGCAATTGCTCCCTCGCTGGTGGGAATGGGGTCCTTGGGGTATCTTGAGAGAAGGAATTTTTCTAAGACTCGCACGGGAAAATGAGCGATTTTTATTTCTGGTCAGTTCTATCCCTCGGTTTCCAAAGTCCCATTTCTTTTCAACCAGTCCTGGAAAAGGTGCAGCTGGGGGCTCCGGCGGAGCCCAAAGCAGGGCCAGTGTCCAGAGCGTCCGTTCCGTGGTGGAGCTGGGTCTGATGGAGCATCGGGGTAGTTAAAAGTCCATTAGTCTATGAGCCGTGTCGGCAAATGCAGAGCGTGAGAGCTCACCCCCTGCAACAGGAGCCCCAAGAGAGCCACAGAAGGGGCTCCTTTGTTCAGGAGCATATGCAGCTCAGATTTCCTGCTTCTGGACTGGATACACCTATTCTGGCCACTCCCAGGTGTGACTGACAGACAGGTAGGCACTTTCCCATGTCACCCAGACCTTACTGGACACACGTCTATTGTCCAGTCCCTTCCCCCAGCAATTTGCGGGGAACAGGCCTGCAGAGTGCACGTCTCGTAGTCGTAAGTCCTGTTTTCTGTACAAAGATTCAATCAGCCTCTATCCCCCCTGAGCTCAGCCGCGGTGTGCAGGAAACCCAGCCTGGCATAAATTATTTAGGAACTGATAGCGGTAAAAAGGAGTGCCAGAAAGTGCTCAGAAAATGCTAGAAATGGAGCCGCTTGTCCAAATGCATCTGTCGTGTGGGTAGATTTTTCGGGCTGTTGACTTGCTCGGCTCTGTATCAAGATATATATGTTTGGTGTTTTGTTTTGTTATTTAATTTTCTGTCTCCTTTTTCCAAACAGAGACCTCATTAAGAAACTTCTCGTGGTGGACAGAACACGGCGCCTTGGAAACATGAAGGTGAGTGTGTGTTTCCCTTATGTATTAAGGGGTTTCCGGGATGAGTCCCTGTCACTCGACACCATGCATTTCAATGTAGAGAGAGAAACAGAGGCGCGGAGTAAATGTTGAATCACTGGCCAGATTTCAAGTCTGAGTTTCTGGGTTCCCCAAATCCAGCTGGGTCTATACCCCGTCTCTTCTTGTGTCCAGACAAGCAAATGACTGTAAAGTAATTAATTTATCTATCTATCTATCTATCTATCTATCTATCTATCTATCTATCTTCTATCTATCTATCATCTATCTATATCTATCATCTATATCTATCATCTGTCTATCTAATTTATCATCTATCTATCATCTATCTATCATCTATCTAATCTATCTATCATCTGTCTATCTATCTAATCTATCATCTATCTGTCTATCATCTATCTATCATCTATCTATCTATCTATCTATCTATCTATCTATCTATCTATATCTATCTATC